CCGGCTCCTGAATACAATGGACAATATTCAGCTGAGCTATTCAGCCAGAAGGCTGCGAGCGTCATCGAGAATCACGAGAATCATGAGAAGGTGACACATACTGTCGCACAGAACACAGCAGGCTCGGGTGTACTGGTCACTGGAGTGGTTTTATACCGCAGTCTGGCAATTAAGGGCAAAGTAAAAAGAACAGGATGGTCTCCATGTTTGAAGATTGACCACTGACCATACTATTAGAGGAATAATAGAGGAAAACAAGGCTCCCCTTATCCACCTAGCATTGCCTCCGTTTACAGCCTGTTCACATTTCTATTATAACAAGTTCAACGGATTAAAATGTAATCATGTGAAATGACTGTGTCTGGCTGTGCTTGTACAATAGCACTGTGTGAATAGGTTGGTGACTACGATGAGTAAATACTTGTTTTAGCCTCCTACTTCATCAGTCGTTGTTCTCTCTGTCTTTCAGCCCTTCTTCCTTTATGTGTCACTTCAGTCAGTGCACGAGCCCTTGCAGGTTCCAGATCATTACCTAGAACCTTACGGATTCATCGAAGACCCGGACCGTAAAATGTATGCCGGCATGGTGTCAGCCATGGATGAGGCCGTGGCCAACATCACCGCGGCTTTAAAGCGGACAGGTCATTGGGAAAACACAGTTCTTGTGTTCTCAACAGGTATATTTGTTCATTTAAAAAAACACGAACTCCTGTTGAGCACTAACTTGGATTATGACACATTCAAATTCAAATCTCTGTTATTAAAGCTTGTCTCTGGGTTTACAGCTGCTGTGATGTCTGTTGTTATGTCATTCAAATTGTCGCCCGTGTGGTTGTTGACTGGCAGATAATGGAGGACAGACGAAGCAGGGTGGCAGCAACTGGCCACTCCGTGGTAGAAAGGGAGCACTGTGGGAGGGTGGAGTCAGAGGAGTTGGATTTGTCGCTGGGCCACTACTGAAACAAAGTGGAACCGTCAACCATGAACTGATCCACATCTCTGATTGGCTGCCTACATTTGTTGCCCTGGCTGGAGGGAGCACTAACACTTCAAAACCCCTGGATGGATTCAACGTGTGGCCCACTATCAGGTGAAGTTTTTACACACACACACGTCATTATTGTACATGTTATTGTGTTACTATTACATAGTGCTTATATGTTACAGTAAAGGACATCCATCACCCAGACTGGAGCTACTGCACAACATTGATCCTGCTTTTAACACGCCAAAGACAAGTAAGTTCTCATCCTCATTGTTTATTTTTGCAATAACACACAGACACACAGTAGTAGATTTGAAAAACGAATGATGATAATTCTTAACTATTTGACTCTCTGAAAATTGTGATGTCATAATGTTTGAAAAAAGAAATGTTCATGTTCTTGATGTAACCCTTTAGGCTTTTCAATTTTACTTTTTCCCATTAACTTCTTTAAATACACCTATCTTGATATAATAATAATTCTTTTTTGTGTGGGGAGGCGGAGGGTCGGGGGGGTCACACAGTTCCCTCTTGCCATGGATAATTTCGGCTTTTTCTTTGGAAATCAGAATTTTTACCATTGGCATTTAAAAATAATGCTAATTTTGTTTTTATTTTAACCAACTAAAAAGTGCTGCTTTTTTGATCTGAAAAGCCTTCTACTTCTGAAAAGAAATGTCTTCTCCTCTTTTGCCTCTTCCTTCTCCTCCTCATATTCCTTTTTTTCTTTTTCTTCTCCTCCTTCCTTCTTTTTCTCTCCTCTCCCATCTTCTTCGGTTTAACTTCTTCTCCTCCTCTTCCACTTCTCCATCCATTGATTATCCTCTGTCCTGTTCTCTCCCATGTGATAAAGGGGAACTCAGACCAATTGCCAGTGGAGACGCTTGGTCATGGTCTCCTTTCAATGTGTCCATTCGTGCTGCCATTCAAACCGCTGAGTGGAAGCTGCTGACTGGAGACCCGGGTCAGTATTCTCACGCAATAAAACGCAATACCGTTAAAGAAATAATTTACCACTGTCACCTGTGACCCAGGTTGTCTGAGTATAATTTAAAGACGTATCATCGGCTTGCTTTGAGTTACAATGTGAACAGGGTTAGAGCTAATTCCACAGCACGGATGTGAGGACGGGCTGTCAACAGAACGTAAAATCTGTTGCTCGTGTTCTTATCCAGGTTGTCACGATTGTGACCATTGGTTTCCACGGCCTGGTGACAACACCCCTGATTCTAGTCAGCCTACAGAGAACCCACAGAAGCCTGTGCAGCTCTTCAACATAAAAGATGACCCAGAGGAGAGGAACGATCTCTCAGATGAGTTTCCTGAGGTGCTGAATCATCTCCTCAGTAGGCTCAACGAGTACCAGAAAACTGCCGTGCCAGTAGTTTTCTCCCCTGTTGATCCGAGCTGTGACCCAGATGCTAAGGGTCTCTGGGGACCATGGGCTAAAGATGCTAGTGGTGAATCTGTATAAGAAAAATCTCACAAATCTCTCTCTTCACTCTTTAAGGTGCCTTTATGTGGATGGATTTTAAGGGCTTATGTCAATGTATTGGTATTATTATTATTATTTAATTATTATAATGGTCTTATAGTATTATATTAGACTTTTGCGTATGACAAACTCAAATAATAATAGAAACACTGCCTTGGTTTGATTGCCTATTTTTCTTTATCTCTGGTTGTTGGTTAGTGCTTACTGTCCTGGTTGTAGTTCGTGGTCGTAGGGTTTTTTGTTTCTTTTTGTTGTACAATCAAATATCTAACAAATAAAGATTATGTATGTATGGTTTGCAAAGGTAAACCAAAGTGTTGCACCAACGGTATGGTTTCCAAAGGTAAACCAAAGTGTTGCACCAACTCTCACTTAGTATAATAATATCAACTCATCTCAATATTAACTTGTCATCTGAGAAAACTTCAAACTCAAACAAACCAAATGAACAAGTTACTTTAATGACACCTCACATGTGGTTTCCTTTTATAAACCAGAGGAAAACGACACCAAGACAACGGTTTTTGGTTGTGTTAAATCGGGCAGGTTACTACACAGCACCACCATGCGGTGATGACGGTTCCCTGATCGGCTCTCCATCTAACGGGTTAGAACTTTTTTTTTAAGTTTGCTTAAGGCGATGGCGAGGTGATTCGTCCGGCCTCTGAGAGAGTAGTCTAACCATATGTGAACTCTTTTATGTTGTTAAAACCTATTGCTTATTGTGTACAAAGTTATCAAATGACAAATTCATTTAAAGGTTAATTGATTATTTTAAGAATTGTATTAATTAGAATGATAGGGTGTAGCACATTAGCAAATGTCATCACAATAATCAGGATAATATAATTTCTATAATAATGGAATAATAAATCAATAAAATATAAGTGTGCTGAGGCAACTTTTTTATAATCTAATCTGACTGTAGTACTTTGCCGTGGTGGTGCAGAAGAGGAGAAGTCACATCACTTGGCCTTCAGTGAGTGGAGTCTTAATTAAAAATAGTCCACGGCATTATTTGTCCGATGTCTTGGGTCCACATTCCTCTTCTCTGGCTGTTGCACGGTGCTGGGGTGAGACCTGTCTTCAACCGTGGAAGGCGAGGCACGAACTGGACTTTTCTGCCCTAAACACTTATATTTATAGGGCATACATCATGAGGGGTTCCTTCATTGGTCTATTTTATCAGATGCTTTCCCTAACTTGCATTACCAGCAAATATATAATGAATACATAAAAAAGATCACACAAAAGGATAATGACACTTTTACTCATTCCTCTGCAGCTTCTGTTCTTCACTTCTGGTCTTGCACTTATTTTTCCCAGGTACTCTCTAAACCACTTCTGTATTCTAAATATTTTTAGGGTACTTCTCCCTTTTCTTTGACCTGCGCTTAAACCTTTAGAAACAGAGATATGCTGTAATGTCCCCTTGGAACATGCCTAGACATGTCATACTATTTTATATCTACTACTTTTTAAGCTGAATAAGAAATTCGTATGTAATAACCTACTAATGTCCGGTGTGATATACTGGGCTATGATTTTATAGATACTGTACTCAACCCTTATTGACAGCAGCAAAATAATCATTTATTCACAAATGAATGCAGTTTAGGCTGTGCTGCCATCTAGTGGTTCAGTTCGTCAGTCACAGGCCAGATATTTATGGAAATGCCTCGCCAGATAGTTCCACGGCCGACTCGGCCCGCTGAAAAGTACAACTGGCCTCTATAGACGTCACTGGCAGTGGACGGTTGTATTTTAACTGACGTTAATAGACGTAATTAACAGTTCACTTCAACAATAAGCGGAAACGGCAACGATTGCAACAAAAGAAAGAATATGGGGCGCGGGTTTACGTCACTAACTTCCACGTGACAGTCCGTTGTATTTGTCTTCCGATTGGCTGTTGTTCCCTTCTTCTGATTGGCAGTCGTTTAGGGAAGTGGTATGCTTGTTTTCTTTAAACAGAAGCGAGACCAGTCGTCGGACAAGATGTTTTACATTTTTTGTGATTCTTCGGGGCGAGAAAACACTGAGGCGAGTGCTCTTCCTCTTCAGCGTTATTGAACCCCAGCCCTGTCAACATTACAACTTCAGACCAACAAGTAGTTTTTGAAACATTATAAATTTATTATTTCTGACCTGACCTGACACTTTTTTTTTTAAATTGACGCCACCTTAGTAACAATGTCCTCCGAATGGCTCCGGTGTGTTGTTGTGTTTCTCGTCGCTGTCCCTCTGGTTAAAGCTGCTCCGCAGCCAAACATCGTCTTTATCATGGCTGATGACTACGGCTGGCACGATATTGGATACCACGGCTCAGAGATCCACACTCCTCACCTGGACAAGTTGTCAGCCAGCGGGGTTCGTCTGGAGAGATACTACATCCAACCAATCTGCACCCCCTCCAGGAACCAGCTCATGACCGGCAGGTACCAGGTGAGAGGGTCACACGCAGTCTTTATGCCTGTATTGTATACGTGGAGTTCTTGTCAATGCAAACTACCGGCTTACGCAACTACTTTATAACGTATTAATAAATGTTACGGCAATTGATTATTTTTCTGAGTTACAAATATTGTTCATTGTTGTGTAATATAAAAAATTATCACGTTAAGAATCTCTGCTTCATGGATTTTATTAAAAAACAATTTAAGCTCCCTGCAGCTATATTATATTTGTTCACCAATATTACAAATTACCTGTTTTTTGTTTGTTTGTTTGTTTTTTACATAAGACATGTATTTACTGCCCTCCTCAGATCCACACAGGGATGCAACATTCGATCATCTGGCCCTGTCAGCCATACTGTGTTCCTCTGGAGGAGAAGCTCCTGCCTCAGTACCTGAAGGAGGCAGGATACAGTACTCACATGGTGGGGAAGTGGCACCTGGGACTGTACAAGAAGGACTGTCTGCCCACCCGCCGGGGATTTGATACGTATTTTGGTTTGTACCTAGTTTATTATTTCAAGGCTTACAGTTTGTGTCACAGACTTTTTGTGCAGAGTAGGTTTTCATGGGTTTATGTGCTTTTATGCATGTTGTATGTTGTGTGATCATGAATCATTCACCGAAGATTAAAAAAAAAAGCAGTAATGACATGTACGAGCAGGTAAAAGCATGAGAGATGGAAGGGATCAAAACACCACGTTCACAGTTGTTTTGACCTCCTTGACCTATTCTACAGCATAATATTCACCATCTGATGATCACAGCTGTTGCCCTCTCTTTACATACACACACGGTGTCACATTGTTTCCATTCAAATACAAATAACCAATCATTTGTCTTTGGACTAATCCCTCTCTGCAGGCTACCTGTTAGGTTCTGAGGATTATTTTAACCACACACAATGCTGGCACATCCCTCCTAAGAAGCGATTCTGTGGTTTAGACCTCAGGGATGGAGAGGAGGTGGCCACCGAATATGCAGGAGATTATTCTACTGAGCTGTTCAGCCAGAAGGCCGTCAATATCATCGAAAAACAACAATCTAACAAGGTGAAACATGTCACATGACAAGTGGGCCACTGAAGTGGAAATAATATTTCTCAAAAAAAAAAAAATTACAAACATTTTTGGTTAAAATCCAAATTAACACAGTTTTTGAAATAATCAGCATCACATTTTACAATACTATAAATCAAATAATCTATTCCTTGGTATCTAATCTGGGAGCTCATTAAGAATGAAAGAGGATCTTCCAGCAGCAGATCAATAGTCCGACACTATATACAGTCAGATTATTTATGGATGATTATTCTGACTCAGCAACTCCAAAATGCTGTTTAATGTTAACATATTGTTTTTGTCTTTCAGCCCTTCTTCCTCTATGTGGCGCTGCAGGCCGTGCACGCTCCTCTACAGGTTCCAGATAAATACCTAGAACCTTACAGTTTCATCAAAGACCTAGACCGTAGGATTTATGCAGGCATGGTGTCAGCCATGGACGAGGCCGTGGGCAACATCACCGCAGCTTTACAGCGGACAGGACATTGGGAAAACACAGTTCTTGTGTTCTCAACAGGTATATTTGTTATACCACATGTATTTAACTGTGGTTCTGACAGGGATGTGGTAACAACAGAAAATATACAAAAACAAGAACAAATAGAAGAAACAAATGTTACCAAAAAACATGATGCTGCAGAGAAACGTAGACTCATGTCTTGTCTTCAGGTTTTTACCTTTCAAACTGAACTTGGTTGTCATTGTGTAAAAATTTATGGGTGTTATTGAAATGAACCCTCAGAATGTTCTCACCTCTGGGGTCAAAATTCTCGTCACCTTTGTTGTGATCTTTATTTAAAATTGTCAATCAATTCCATGTAACATTAGTCTCAGTCCAACCATAACCACAAAAACCTGGACTCCTTTTTTAAAAAAATGTAAGCTCAGTAAAAAAAAACTGGTGTAAAAGGTACATGTTAACGTTTAAGTTGGGGTCAGAACCCTCCCTGACAACACAAGGGTTACTGTAAGTCTGTTGAAATGCTAAAGTTGAAGACTTTAATGTTCATTTATATAAATCTGTCATCTGCTCTGTGTCGGTGTTTTTCTTCTTTACTGCTGTGGTTGTTGACTGGCAGATAATGGAGGTCAGACATTGTCTGGTGGCAGCAACTGGCCACTGCGTGGTAGGAAGACCACACTGTGGGAAGGTGGAGTCAGAGGAGTTGGATTTGTCGCTGGGCCACTACTGAACCAAAGTGGAACCGTCAACCATGAACTGATCCACATCTCTGATTGGCTGCCTACATTTGTTGCCCTGGCTGGAGGGAGCACTAACACTTCAAAACCCCTGGATGGATTCAACGTGTGGCCCACTATCAGGTGAACTGGGACTTCTCACAGTCAGGTCTCGTCATGCCTTAATTAAAGTTCATCCCTCTGTTTTTATACACTTACATTCTTAACACATGATATGAAAGAATGTGAACTACTTGTTATTGTGACACAGCACACCACTTCTCCTTTTAACCCATCACCAAAGTGAACAGTGGGCAGCTTTAAGCGCCCGGGGAGCAGTGTGTGGGGACTGTGCCATCAGAGCACCTCAGTGGTAATTTGGTAGCTGGTGAACTCGAACCTGAAACTTTCTGGACCACTGTCCCTAAACGACATTATGGACGTTTGGATCGGAGAGTTTTGCTTTTAAACCCTGGTGAAATGTAAAAATTGTTTAAATGTGATACTTCTTATATCCTAATTATTTTCTTATGGCTAAAGTTTAGGATATAATTTCTAAATTTAAATATTAAATTTTGATTAAGTCATTTATCCACATTTTTGTACAGGTCATAACACAAATTGTCATTTTTACCCACAGACTGAGTTTCTAACTGTTGTTGGAAAAGAGGAAGCATTATTTCAGTTGTGCTAACAGACACTGTGTTCAGGCAGAGCAGATTGTTTCCTCTGTGGTGAAACTGCAGTGATGATCTGGCCGACATCAGCCAGCAGGATCAGATAAACATGTTCCAGTGCTGTGTTATTAATATCTTCTTATTCTTATATGTCACAGTTATGGAGCTGCATCACCCAGACTGGATATTCTGCACAACATTGACCCTCTCTATTTTGATGACACACCATGTAAGTTCATGACGATCCTGGAGAGCCATTATTTGTTTGTTTTTTTTTTTTTCTCACAAGATACCTTAAAATTGACAAAGTAAACATGCTTCTCTTATCTGCAAACATCTGGTCTGGTTCTAGACAAAGTACTTTCTCTTAGCAAGATACAGTCTCAAAGATAACCTAGCCCAGTGGTTCTCAAACGTTTTATACTCTGTACCACCTGAGAAAACACTGATCTCTCTCTGAGTACCACCATGATGACCAACATTAGAATATAGCTGCATAGGCCTTCACTATCAGCTTCCATCACACAGGAGAGATGTTTATAAATGTTTATACAAATGTTTATGTTTAAAAGTTGTATTAATTGTGCATGGTTTCAGATTTATTCAATTGAAAATGTAAATGTGAAAATATGATTTATTTTTTTTCCCCGCGTACCACTAGAGAGTGCTCGCGTACCACCAGTGGTACAACAGTTTACTATCAGCTTCCATCACACAGGAGAGATGTTTATAAATGTTTATACAAATGTTTATGTTTAAAAGTTGTATTAATTGTGCATGGTTTCAGATTTATTCAATTGAAAATGTAAATGTGAAAATATGATTTATTTTTTTTCCCCGCGTACCACTAGAGAGTGCTCGCGTACCACCAGTGGTACAACAGTTTAAGAACTACTGATCTAGCCAGTGCAGCCAGTGGGAAGTAATTTCGTAGACACATGTTGTTTAAAAAGTGTTTTTATTGTCTTTAATCTACTGTTGAACAGCTTTTAAAAATGTAAAGTTGTTCAAAAGGGTATCAATGCTCTCCGTGACCGTCTCCGTCTTGTTTTATCCGCAGGTCTTGGCAGGACTCCGAGGCCTTTAGCCAGTGGAGACCGCTGGGCCAAGTCTGGCTTCAATGTGTCCATTCATGCTGCTATTCGATTCAGCAACTGGAAACTGCTCACTGGAGACCAAGGTTAATATCATCTGTGTTCCATAATGATCTGTTCATTCCATGTGGGTCTGTCAATAAAACAGTGACGGAGAAAAAAAAAACAGTTCAAACAACTTCTTTTACAGGTGATGTTTTTTCAAAATTAAAAAAAAGATTGTTTCTCTAGATTGTAGTTAACTGTATCTGAGGACAATAAAATACATACATATGTATATATCCCAGTATTTTAGGGTTTGGCCTACGATCAGGAACAGAGAGTTTCTGTGTTTACGATACATGCCGTACACAGAGACATGGCTGTCGAGTGCAACCTGCCACTGATTCAACTTCAAGCTACAATTATTCAAGTTATATTTAGGTCACGTTATACCTTTGTTTTGTCATTTTATTCAAATGTATTTTGCAGCCATAGAAGTGTAGGAATGACAAGTAAAAATATTTTTGTACACTTTTCTCAATCAGTCCTTTTGTCTCGGATCCTTTTCTCCCGCAGGTTGTGACCGCTGGTTTCCTCGGCCTGGTGAAAACACATCCGAGTGGCGTCAGATCAGTGAAGAACCTCAGAATCCCGTTAGGCTCTTTGACATAGTAAATGATCCAGAAGAGAGGAATGATCTATCAGATCAATTCCCCACTGTGGTGAATCATCTCCTCACTAGGCTGTATAACTACCAGAAAACTGCCTTGCCAATAATTTACCCAGGTGAAGACCCCAGGTGTGACCCAAGTGCCACAGGAGCCTGGGGACCCTGGACCTAGGTGGAGATGGCTCTGATGAACACCATGAAGGATGTGGATTGTCAGTCTTTGCGACTTTACAGTGTCAAAACATCCTATTTTCTTTTAACTGTCCAATAATTGAAAGTCTTTGTGTCACCTAACAGGCATGAGTGTGAATTACATCATCACATCTCTTTCTTGATCCTAATCATTTTGAAAACTTCCAGTAGGAACAAACTGCTGATTAGTGGCAAAATATCAACTTATTGACAACCAAATTGATATAATTATTAGTGACCTGCACCTTTTTTTTCCAACATCTAAAAAGTTCCTAGTTTGGGTTTGGGATAAAATGTTTTAAAGCACCATCTATGGGGGTTTGTTCTGTATTTGTCTTTGGGATTACTTTGTCTTCTGATTCTAGGTCCTGGTTATGGCTCACATATTTTGGTATGTAGTATTAGTACTATTATTAAAAAATGTACAGCCAAGAGGATCGCAGGTTTGCTGGTCCAGGCAGGGGTTTCAAACTCAAATTTGATCAATGTTTAGTTCTAAAGAATTTTATTAGTTAAAATAAAATAATAAAAATTTGCTCAAGAGCAAAATTAAAATGTTTGTGTGTGTGTGTGTGTTTTAAATACGTTGCTTGAGCATATCCCTTAAAACTCGAAATATTATTTCATTTATGTAAATCCCACCTGGCAACTGCATCGTCACTAATGACATCAGTAAGCCGAAAATAATTTAATACATTTCGAATCCACATGTTTTTATTATGTAAACTTATTTCGATTTATAACAAGTGCTGTGGAACATTTGATTTTGTACATAACGGTAAAAGAAAGAAAAAAGTAGTTTGTATATAGTAGAATAGTTTGTAGAAAACTATGAGGGTATAAAAAGAAAAAAAGAAAAAAAAAACGTTGGCCAGGTTAAGCATTCACGTGATTGGCTGCTCTTCCTGTCTTGTGATTGGTTCCTGCTCCAGAGTAATGTTTTTGATTCACAGACAGGGAAGTTGGAGCTGTAACGAGACATTGTTGCTACACTTTTGGGAATACTTCAGGATATAAATACAAGCACGCGCATTCACTCAGACACATTCAACTAAGGCGTGCGCGTGTGCACTTTATCAAAGTAAGGAAGTAACAATGTCCTCCGAATGGCTCCGGTGTGTTGTTGTGTTTCTCGTCGCTGTCCCTCTGGTTAAAGCTGCTCCGCAGCCAAACATCGTCTTTATCATGGCTGATGACTACGGCTGGCACGATATTGGATACCACGGCTCAGAGATCCACACTCCTCACCTGGACAAGTTGTCAGCCAGCGGGGTTCGTCTGGAGAGATACTACATCCAACCAATCTGCACCCCCTCCAGGAACCAGCTCATGACCGGCAGGTACCAGGTGAGTGACTACCACAGTATCTGCGTCATAGAGTAATTGGAATAATGATGATAATAACGATATAATTCTATTATTTTCTTTAAATAAAACTTAAGTAATGTACTGTAACTAAGAAAAATATAAAGTCGAAACACATTTAAATGGTTTCATGTAAAATCAGTATAAACATCTACAAACCCATGATGTAATATTTAATATGAAATAGGTTTTGTGTGCAATATCCTCTCATATACCACATAACTATACCTTACACATAGTTGACAGACAAAGTATATGTAGCTCATCCTAAGATATAACCATAACGATGAAGGAAGTATATGAAATGTCAAATTAAAAAAATGTTTTGAATAATACTGTTTACTATATAGGAACAAAAAAAACAGACTAAAAAGGCTGCAGTTAATGATTCAGAAAAGCTGTTAATTCCGTGTGTAATCAGATCAATCATCATTGTGAGGAAATATTTGGCATAACTCTAACATAACCCTGACAACTTCCTGAAGTGTCATAACATTCTTACTACTTAGATGAGAACACGCAAAAGCTTGTTTGCTTGCAAAGTGTGTTTATGTGTGTGGTCTGTGGGTTATTTACGCAGAGATTTTGGTTTTAAAAACTTTCCCAGAAGCTCTCACTCACCTTTAACGTCTAAAGGAGCCACACGTTGCTTGTAATTCTTTAGCACAAAGATGAACGTATTACTGTGATTGATTGATCGCGATACCACTACCACTGGTCACTGACCAACTCTTCAGTCACTGCTGCCCCTTTTGTCCTGTCAGGCATTAGAACATTTAGCAAGTAGTCCTTAAAGGGTTGACCTTTGACCCTCGGCAGCAGTAATCCTAAACTAACCGTCATCCATTGTTGGATTGATCCACAAGAAGATGGCATCAACATATCCTTCCCTGGTTAGACTGAGTATCAATCCTTTGAAGTGAAACTGTGGTCTTGTTTTCAGGGAGGGGGTTGTGTCTCAAACCACCTGCCCCTTTGAATAGGGTGTGATTCACTACACCTGTATCCCCCCTGCAACAACCCTAGTTACAGGTTTGTTTTTGTTACAGTTTGCAAGCATTATTGGCATGTTGTGGGTTCTTTTCTAGTTTTCCAAACTTCCAGTTCAAGACATGGTTGACATAGCACCGCATACAGGCCCCGGCATATGTATGTATGTATGTATGTATGTATATGTGAAAGCCCACGCTCAGTATCCATAGGCTACTGTAGCCGTATCGTATTAAGACTAAACCAGTCTCTAACATATACTGAACCAGTGTTTGGTGGGCCAGATTAGAAAGCCCATTGGCCCACGGGCCTTAGTTTACCCTTTAAGAGGTTCTTGGAGTGCAAAGTTCCATTCTTGGTGATCCATCCATCCATTTTCATCCGCTTATCCGTTACCGGGTCGCAGGGGCAGCAGTCACCCCCCAAACCTTCCTGGAAGGAACCAACCGCCCTAACTGGGATTCAAACTTGCCCAGGAGGTGAACCCTGGGGTTCCACACCAATGACAGAGACACTGCCTCTGGGCCAAAGCACCACACCCATTCTTGGTGATGAAAAATAAAAACATGCTCAGAATCTTTTTAGTGACATCAAGAATGCATCATTACCCAGGCTGTCATGCTTCCTGTCCTGTACTTAAATTGGTTTAACTGTCCTGTCAAACTTAGTTTATTTTTTGTAAGGTTGGTATCTTTCAAATCCTAACTGTGTTTTTCCCCCCACACCTCCAGATCCACACAGGGATGCAACATTCGATCATCTGGGCCTGTCAGCCATACTGTGTTCCGCGGGAGGCGAAGCCCCTGCCTCAGTACCTGAAGGGGGCAGGATACAGTACTCACATGGTGGGGAAGTGGCACCTGGGCATGTACAAGAAGGACTGTCTGCCCACCCGCCGGGGATTTGATACGTACTTTGGTTCGTAAACTTTTTAATATATTGACGGTTTTCTGTGAATCTTAGTCATGTTTTCGATGATTTAAAAAAAAATCTGCTTCAGAAATGCCGTTGATCTGTGTACATGCTGCGAGCTGAACCTTTCTGTGCAGTTTATTTACCTGTGTCTTCAGGTGTTTGCTGTTTTAACAGTTTGACAATTGTAGTTTGACAATCGTAGAAATTATTTCTATGTAGAGTGTCTAAAGATTTAAAACAAACAAACAAACATGGGCAAATCCGCCCGGGGGACGGATGTGGCCGGATTCATCTTGTTAATCCGGCTCACTAAACTTTTCCAAATTATATAATCTATTTATATCATCATTATACTTCAGCCTTTAACTTTTGTAACCTGCAATACCCCATTTCCACAATAGATGGCAATTATGATGGAAAATTTTAGCATTTATGCCTTTATGCATGACTTTTACATGTCATTTATCTTAGTTCACACGAACACTCCTGACCCGGCCCCCCTGTTCAATCTTAGGACAATTGTGACCCGCCAGTCGAAAAATGTATTCTAAAACATCAACATGTCTTGAAAGTCTCACAGTGAGACATCGCACACACTCCTGTTTCCTTACATCACTGAATGGAACCACAGGCTGAACACAACACTGTACTGTGTCTGTTGGTGACAAGTGGAGTTACCGAAACGTTTCAAAACTCTCACATGATTCTCATTGTCACCACGGGTGGCAGGATCTTGCTCACGTGTTGCTATTTTTCAAAAGTACCTTTATAAAACTCTGTGTAATAGGTGTGCTGAGTAAACAATGAAGACACACAAGATATTAACATTGATGGAACAAGTAAACACATTTAGTCTTTGTTTTGTAAGTGTTGTGACTATGTAGAAATGTAAACAACAAGGTGAAATGTACACAGTCAGTTAAGTTAGGTACGAACTTCATCACATTCAGCTGATTAACATTTTAATACATATTAATGCAGAATTAATAATAGTGCAGAATTAGTACCTTGAATAAGTTTCATTTTTGATGGCCGTTAGGAGTGTTTTTTAATTTAATTTTTTTAAGTTTTCGTGAAATTGGGGGTGCGTCAACAAAATTGACCAAAAAGTTTGTGAAAGCGTCAATACATAGTGCATACACACTTTAGTAGTTACATGCACTGCAGAGGCTTCAACTTCCAGTCAAACGTGTCGGACCAGTTGTCTGAGGCTTCACCGACACCAACGCCACTATTGTTTTCACACACTTTATGTTAGGATTTAAATTATACTTTTGCATAATTTCCTTTGCATTTTTCCATATTAATAATTCTATTATTTGGATCAGTCACAAATAAAAATAGGTCTGATACTTGCTGCTATTTGTCTTTCTATTTCAGCAATATACATATATATACAATATGTTTTTGTCATATTTTGGAATGACAATTTGCCTTGATTAATCATGATGAATCCACAGCTACCATGCAATTAACCTGAGTAGAATTATGAATTTCCTGACAACTCTAATGTGCACAATTGGTTTATAGCATGGCTGTCAAAACTTTTTGCCAGATTTGGTAAGGTAAAAACGTATGAGGGCCGATCATTCAGCTCAGAAGAAGAATAATAAAAAATAATTGACCTGCATTAATGTGAAGGGTGATATTGAGGTCTCAACTGCAGTAAACAAGGCACACAGGTCTGGCTCAAAAACAGTGGTTTTAATGCGCAAGTCATGCAGGTGAGAGTCACTTAGTCTTGTCCTCACACAGGCTACAAGTCGACTGCCATCTTCTGGTGAAATATACAATTGCTTTTTGTACGTGTGTATTCTTCAGTGTGGGTCAACCATGCTGGCAGGTAACATGTTGACATCTTGATTTTATGACAGATGCTTCTGGACGGTGGAAATTTAGACACAGACTGGATTTGGACCGTGAGCCGGACTTTGAGCATGCCTGTTTTAGAAGTAATAGAGGGATTCTCTATACAAAACAGTTTAATCACAATACCAAAAAACTTTAAATAAATGGAATGATCAGTTATGTCCATCATAAGATTACTGGTACAAACTTGAATTCCTTTCCTTTTTACAGGCTATCTAATGGGCTCTGAAGATTACTACTCACACGTGCACTGCTACTACAGCCCAGATGAGAAAAAGACATTCTGTGGCCTGGACCTGAGGGATGGAGAAGAGGTGGCCACTGAATACAAAGGAGATTATTCAACCGAGGTGTTTACCCAGAAGGCCCTGAGCATCATTGACAAACAAGACCCTGACAAGGTGACTCGTATTTTACACACGTTGAAGACATTTGGAGATCAGGGTTCTAAAGGGAGGTTTGTCGCTGCACTGGTTAACTAGGAAAGTGTTGGTGGGCGGTGAAATATGTAATGATTCTCTGTTTAAGTTCTACCTCAGCCGCCTTACATGAAACAGTCAACCTATTACAACATTTGTTGTTTGTTTTTTTTTTTGTCTTTCAGCCCCTCTTTCTCTACTTGGCGCTGCAGGCTGTACATTTTCCTCTGCAGGTTCCTGATCGTTATCTAGAACCTTACAGTTTCATCAACGATCCAAAACGAAAATGTTATGCCGGCATGGTGTCGGCTATGGACGAGGCCGTGGGCAATGTCACTCTGGCATTACAGCAGAAGGGACTTTGGGAAAACACAGTGCTTGTGTTTTCAACAGGTAACCAATATGCAACTTCCAATATGTGTATTGTGCCCTAAAATGTGAAATGTACATCCCTTTTTAAAACACATTTTTACAAATGAATTTAAAACTTTATGGCTGCCTTTAATTAAGTTAGAATTATGGGTAACAGCAGAATAAAGGTTTTATAAATCCTATTTTGTAATTGAAGATCAGGTCGGAGAAACTAATTGTGCTAACACTAATTTTATATTTGGACAGGCAAAATCATTTGTTAACATTATTAACATTTAATTAAAGCTTTAATCCCATTACATTCTATAGAAATTCTACAACATCTAATGTCAAATATCAAAAAGTGTGTGACAGAAGGACTCTTTTCCCTCTTAATAATACTTAGAAAAAGACAGGGAACGTGTGCGTACACACACAAAACATTTGTACTGAACTGTACTTGTTTCTTATTGACTTTTCCCAAAAGCGTTACTTTTGGGGGGAAAAAAGGAGTGTTTCTTCTAGTTTGTCCACTGGAGGTCAGTATTTCGTTTCAGTTATTCTTACGAGACTCTCTTCTGTAGTGTGAATATCTCTGTTGACCAGAGCTCAGGTTTACAAAATGAAAGATGATTCTGCTCGGTTTATAGTTTTGTATAAAGTAGCAACAGAATCTTCAAAAAAAAATCATATAACTTTTATAAAGAACATGGTCCGAACGAGGTATAAAGCCATTATTAAAACATGTGCCAACTCACTGCTTTATCTACATGTGCAACCAATCATGGATTGCATCTGAAGTAGGTAACTCCTTTAAGGGTTATTTTAAGAGGGTTTAAAGGGTAATTAGAAGACAGGAACAATGCTGTGAAGGTAAATGGCAAAGGTTTTAATGTGTGTAGTTGACTGCGGTGGGTGGTCTGTTTCATTGTTCTTCCACACATCAGCTTGTCTCTGACTCAGAGCGGTCGGCCTACCATGTGTCATGCACCACTCGGTTGGCTGATTGAAATCTGAGGAAAAGTACGCTGAAGTACTCGAAGTCCCTGTTCCAGTTACCATCTTATGGTATCTGGAGTTTTTAACTGAACGAACTTCCCTTAAAGAGGAGTTTCTGAGAAAGATCACATTATTGCTTTATTAGTGTGTTTTTCCTCACAGCGAAGCTGCGCTCGGTGACCCTCATGTGTCAGGCCAAACAAGAAAGTAATGAGCCCTGAAATTTTTCCCTTTGTGATGAAATTTTCTGTAAACTGACTGCCTCACTGGGACTTTACTGTAAGCAAAAGAGCGAGACAGATCTAGTGAATGTTAGTTGGGGGTTGGGAAACCTGGCGAGCAGCGATCCGGAACAGCTTGAAAAGGCATTAAGAAACAGTCTTTTCCAGAGAAGTTAAGGAATCAGCACATGCTTCCAGCAGGAGCCGAATGCACGATATTCTCCTGCTGAAACAGGAGCTGATGCACGAGGCTGGTCAGCAGTGTTATTACTGGACTGACCAGTTGGAAAGAACCACTCAGTCCAACCACCTGTGTGTGTGTGTGTGTGTGTGTGTTTAAGTTAGAAGTAGATGTTGTAACGGAATGCTCGTCTAGTTCTGGAGAATAGCAGATGAATACTACTGAGTTAAGGGAGTACTAGCTGTGTGACCTTAATTAGGTATACTCCAGAGGAAGTCTGGTTGTTTAGGGAAGGAAATGCCATTGTTCTTCACATTTGTTACACATAAAAAAAAAAAAGTAAAACACTGCACATATGTGCAGCAGACAGACCTGTTTATTTTCAAAATGCATTGTCCATCTTTCTGCTGGGAATGGAGGTAACATTTTCATCAGAAGAACTAGCATTTGCTGCCATCTTTACCTTCTTTGGATATAAGAACTTCCTGTAGTTTAGATGTATGTGTTTTACTGTAGGTTATTAGGTTCTAGGTTCGACGACTTAACCAGTCCATCACAGGACGGAACATAGAAACAAACAAACCACCCACTTACACAGTTCACCTTAAACCTTTAGCTCAGGGTTTTTCAACCTCACATGGAATTGATTAAAAAAATTACTGATAAAAATGTTTTTCAACCTCACGTGGAATTGATTAAAAAAATTAGTGATAAAAATATTTTTTTCGACAAATTATTGTTGTCTTGTGATTAAAAAGACCACGCACAACTGTATTCTTTCACTTTCATGAATATAAGTCCAGTTTAAATGCAGCATCTGAAATATCTGAGCTGATTGACGACTGCGATCACGTCAGTGTAAAATAATATATCTGGGGTCACCAGAATCCCCTATAAGATCAGGAACCACTGCTGTCCTAGTTTTCTTTGCCTCCGTATTAACGTTAAAATCTAATTTCCAGCTGAACATTATAATAATATTTGCTTCGTTGTGTTTTTCATTGTTTTGTTTTTCTTTTTGTGTGTGTTTTTTTTTGTGGTAGACAATGGAGGTCAAACTCTTTGGGGTGGCAGCAACTGGCCTCTGCGCGGCAGGAAAGCAACACTGTGGGAAGGCGGAGTCAGAGGAATCGGATTTGTGGCTAGCCCACTCCTGAAACAAACTGGAACTACCTGCAATGAACTGATTCACATCTCTGATTGGCTACCCACACTGGTTGGCCTGGCAGGAGGAACCATCAATACCACAAAGCCATTGGATGGATTTAACATGTGGCCCACAATCAGGTGAGCTGGAAAGAGGACTCCGACGGCAGATGAAGCTCCGCCTCCTCTTTCGCTGGGCTGTCCTCAGACTGGCCTTTAGCATCAGTTTCAGTTTGTCAGTTTCTTCTGTTTGCATTGTATTTTTGCCATTTGAGGATATCTTTACCGTTCAGTCGTGCAAGTTTTCACTGGCGTTCAGTTGTCACGAGTTTGGATGGCGCCCTCTTGTGGCCGTAGATTGTATTGATATATGCTTTTTAGCTTTTTAAGCTACTAAAAATGCGACTTATACTGCGTTAAAAAAAAGAACATACCCTACACAACCTATTTATTTTATATCTTTTTTTTTATTTGATCATTTAAAAGCATTAGGTTATCACAGAAGTAGCCACAGAGGCAGAGTTAAGTTTTTTTTTATTTTTTTCTTTTTATCTAAATGTAGACACAGTGCACAGGGGTGAAATAAGGGCTACAGCAGAGCCCCAGAAGAAAACTAACGCTCAGCCAGAACCACAAACTACTACTCACAGAATCCACTTGACTCAATTGGCCGACACACGTCAGCTGACCACTGGCTGTTGGCATTGCTGTGTGAGCCGTACAACAGCAGAAGAAACAAATGGCTGTTTTGAACTGCTTCACAATTTCACTTTTTTTTAATTGTCCTCCTCCGTTCTACAAAACAACAGACTGACGTCTTGAATCATGAAAAAAACAAAAAGTTGTGTTATCAGACACTGTGGTCAGCACTTCTGCTGTGTGGTGAGGTGTTGACAGAGCATATGACGGCCTGGCCCACATCTGCCAGCTGCCTGCTCTACATTCACTGGTCCCAGTGGATTTCACAGCCACTGTCATGTTTGTTGTCATGCATTAATATATTTATGGAATAACATCACTTTCACATTACAGTTATGGAGTTGCATCACCCAGACTGGAGCTGCTGCACAACATCGACCCTCTCTACACCAACGACTTACCATGTAAGTACACATTTTCACAGTATTGCAGAGTATACTCCCAGTATCTACCTGTAGATTCTCTCCACCAGCAGTTTTCAACTTGGTCACTTCTCAGGCAAAGTCTAAAAGTGTGGCTGGGGTTTGCATTAATGGTGTTTTCATGTACTATATAAAGTTAGCTCTCACCTGGGAAAGCTTTTAAAATAATTTAAAATGCATCGTTATGAAATACTCACACTGAGTAACACAAGCTATACAGATACCAGTGAACCCTGCCAACAGTCTGAGACCGTTCGACTTCCTTATGTAAATCATTCTGGTGGTGGAGATGCCTGACAGTCAGGTCTTAAAATCTTTTTTTTGGGCTGTCAACAATTAAACATTTTAAATCTGCTTAATCAAACGTTTAAAACTTCAGTGAATTGTTCAACAATATTGTTTTATATTATGACATTATGAGGTGTACTGTACGTTGGTGAGCCTGCTGTGGGTTTGCATTTGCGATTGCATGAAAATGTAAAATACTAAAATATATATACAGTATAAATATATAAATATATATATATACATATACATTTATACAGTATGTATGTATATATGTATATATATGTACACGGTATATATATATATACATATATACAGTATATGTGTATATATATATATAGAGAGAGAGAGAGCGTATACACTCTAGTACAGTAGGTGGCGGTATTTCCCTGAAAACAAAAAACATTTTATAAAATCAGATCGTAAATAATAAATTGCGTATCATAATGTGGGTTGAACATATCGTTACACCCCTAATATTGATATAGTGTATATATATATGAATATGTATGTATTTGTATGTGTATATTTATATACTATATATGTCTGTGTGTGTGAATGAATTGACACCTTTTTCGTGTTGATGGTCCCAGACACCTTGGGATATCCTCTCCGTCTGCTTGACAGTCTGTGTGTGACTGACAGGAAATGTCACTTAGTGACGCCTTTCCTCATTTTCCCAGTGAGATTTATGCCTTGACTTTTCCCCAGCTCCACCTTCTCATGCGGCTACGGTTCATTCTGGTTTCCAAAAAACCCAAATTTCCTGAGCCAAGCCACGCAACTCAACGACAGTTCACAAACCAGTGGATGACGTCACACTGGGTTGCCACTTAAGATTTAAACCCATCTGTTTTCAGACATTCTGGTTTGGAAATTCCTGTATGTGACCTTTCACTCCATGTTATTAGAGAGAAGACCAACCCTGATTGTTTTTGTACAGGTTATCACCTAATGGTATTCATATGTCGAAGGTGAAGTTTTTATTTGCTTTCCGAGTTTCGTGTAGGTCTAAAACCCACTTTAATGTTGGTTTCATACACAACCTGGTTGTGTATGAAACGTGTATGAAAGTGAATTATCTCAACTATTATTGGTGAATCTGCTGAAAACATGTCTGTGAATGGATGGTTTGTGTTAACTACAGTTACAGATCATACACTATTTCCCCCTGCAGCCATCTTTAATATTCTCCATATGCTGACAAAACTCAACATAGTTTATTTTCACCATGTTTTTTTTTCCAGAAAACTGAAAGATTAAATCCTAATGGTTTCGTGACCACAGGTGAAATCACCATTCAAACATTTCTAGCTATAGCATTAGCACAGACTTTCATGGTCTCTGGATACTTGATCATTTGGTGATTCCCACCAACTTCCCTTTAATTATCTGCTGACCTCACACCAAGTTAGGAACCACTGGTTTAAATCCAACAAATCTAACAAATGTATCTGTATATAGACACTTTCTTGGGGCTGGACAGTGGCTCGCCTTACATGAATCACGTCACATTTCATGTTTTATTATGCTCCTTCTTTTCTAATGATGTAATTGTGCTGCTTCCACTTCCTTCTTTTACGCAACCAAAAGTATCAAATCCTCATTGTTTAACACCATGAAGTGAAAACCACAGCTGACGTAGTTGTTTGTATTGTACTCAAACATTCGACTTGACCCAACCCTAATGTACAGAATATCTGTTGTCAGAAAAGGAATCTGTCTTATGTTTATTAGCGTTGTGTTTGTTAGCTTTGATCGTGAACTCCTTCCTGGATGTTTGTGGCTGATTCAAAGTTCTGGGTTTTATAGTCTGAGGGAAACCTCCCAGTCGTTTACACATGTCATCCCAAGTGGTTTGGAAATATTATAAGCATAAAGCACATGTGTTAAACTCAAGGCCCGTGGGCCAAATGTGGCCCTCCAAGTCATTTTGCATAGCCCCGGAGTTTTTTAACCTGATAAACTGAAATGTTTTGCAATGAACTCTATCTATAACTCATATAGATAACAATCAATTGAAGAAACATTTATTAATACGCTATGGAGCAGTTACATCTGTGTAGTCTACCATTTACAACCGGCCCTTCAAGGGGAACTGTATTGCCGTTGTGGCACCCCCAAGTGAAAATGAGTTTGACACCCCTTGGCCTGAAGCTTTCTGATTTACATTGAAATCTCAGGTATGTGAAGATGTCATTGTATTCTTTAGTTTTATCATCATAGCAACGAAAACAAATGGCAGATGTTTGAAAGTTTAACAAGTGCAGTTGAGATCATTGATCCACCAGGTCAGGGTCTGTGTGTGTGTGTGTGTGTGTGTGTGTGTGTGTGTGTGTGTGAAGTTGATGTCTGACTGTTGGGAAGAGTTCTAAAAATGAGTCTAATCTTCTTAAGACAGGACACAGAGCTGCTGTGTCTTTGTCAAAACCACCTGAGAACCGTCACTGCGTGGGCACCAGGGTTTCGTTACAAATGTGGCCGATATTTCTGACACCGTGTAGAAAAGTAGAAAAGCTACAGCAGGAGTACATCTTTCTACAGAAATAGTTTACAGATGTTTCCACCATTGACCTGGTGAACTCTCTAAGAAAACAGATGTGTACGTTTTCAGCCCCAGAGATACAGTATAGAAGGATCACCAGGTCAGGGCTAGAAAGAACAGTGTCTTCAGCATAAAACAATCAACACTACAGTACGTCCACCACTCTACAACAGCTCTAAAAATGTCTCTTAACCTCATTGTTGTCCACCTGTCCATCTTGGACTTTTTCAGAGCATGAGATTAAAAAAAAAAAATCAGCTTATATAACTAAATATATCACCAAAAATGTGTTTAAAAAAAAGATTTGAAAGAGTAGACGTCAGAAGATATAATTGTCCGATTAGCCTGAGGGACTATGGAGAAAACACTTTAAGGGTGCACTCACACTAAGGCCAATGCACCACACCCAAGTGCGTTTGCCCCCTAGAGTCTAAGGATTCTATGGCTAGTGTGACAAACAATTGGCTACTAATGGTCGCCTCACGCAGTCAGTAAATCAAGACATTGAAATTTGAAGATGGTTCATTAGCAGCCATTCCAGCTTTTCAGATTCGCTCTCGATCGCGCTGCTTCAACCGTGTATAAACAACAGTCCCTGACTCATGTGTCGGAGGCAACTGGGCTTCAGCTCACTTGCCTTCAGGGTAATGTGAGTGTGGGCTAAAGGGGGTCGGGAGGGAAGGGGAGGGGAGGCATTCGGGCTACATGGTGGTACGGACCAACTGGCCGTAGTGATTACAACAGGTGTCCACACAAACCTGACGCCTCATTCAGAGGAGATCCTGACAGTAAGTGAAGAATTGGCCAGTGTCAGTGTTTTATCATCCAACCTGTGGAACCAGTTAGGCATCAAATCCAACACTGGACACTGGAGGTCATTCAGCCTGTTGAATTACTGCAGCCATGAAAGCAACCTCTGAGTCTTCACAATCTTTCACTCTTACGTTTTACATTTCATTCTTTACCGTCAACCGTCACTGTGACAACCAGCCACCCTCGGTTCACGTCAGTGTGAGATTCCTCTTTTCTCCTGCTCTCCGTCTCATTAAGCCCCTCGCTGTTTGGGAAATGTTCTTCTTTTCTCTCTGCGTTTCTTCATGCGCTTTGAGATTGTCCGTCTACCTCTTAAGGAGGCTGTTTTCCATTATGTACCTTTCCCGCTTTCAACTCGTTTCCCTCCCTTGCCCTTGTATTGTCTAAGTAAAAGAGATCCCAACTGAAATAGGTCAGAAAGAGGTCCCTGACGGTTATTTTGCTTGGAGCCAGGAAAAAAGAGAGAAACCCTGGACTTTGCCCAAGTCTTAAATCACCTCTCAATTTCCCTGCTGTACTCCTCTGCTTTCCTTCCAGCGATTTCTCTACTCTCACATTCTGCTGCCTCTCCAACCCCCTCCTCTTTGTGAGCCAGTTTGTGGATCATCCTGCTGTGGATCCAGATGGGCAAAACCTGCAATGAAGATTATTCTCTACGTGCAGATGGGATAAATTAGTGTAAAATAGGTCTGCAGTGTTCAGTGGAAACAAAAAGAACCTCAGTGTAAATCTTAACCTTCAGTTTAGGGTTAATTAGACCAAAAGACAGTGTGATGAAACCTCGCCCTCAGTTTGGCCTGTGATTACACTACGTGACGTCAGACTTCTTTAAACAGTCTCTCTCATCAGGCGAGTCCCTGGAAACACAGATCATCACCTGGCTCACCTTTTCAAACATGGTTGAATGGATTAGAAAATCACTCGCCCTGTGGGTTGGCCTGAGCTCAAACCTGCTCACTGCATGTTAGCCTGTTACCCACACAGCTGTTCAACACTGTTTGTCTCTGCCTTTTTAGTTCATTTGGTATTTATTAAAACAGGACCTGATAACATCTCATGGCCGTAATACACCTCATACACCATTATATCTGCTGGTACTGCGTACATAGCGAACTGTTGAATGAATTATTTAACTACTCTACTATTTATACTGTTTATATATTTAAACTATTTATATACTTGTTCACATAGCATCCTTATAATTATACCAGTTAGGCTTATATATACATATACATACCATAGGTTAATGTGGTATACGTAATATACATACATATATATCAATTAAATTAGTATGTAGTATATATATATATATATATATATATATATATATATATAGTACTAATTTAATTACTGCTAAATAAATATTATGTTATAACAATAGTATAAAGAAATATAATAATAAATAATAATTGAAATTGCAATCAACAACACCACACACGACAACAATAATTATCTACTAATCTACTGCTGCTCCTGATTTATCTAGTACTGCTAATCCACTGTTCAGGTTTTCCCATATTCATTGTCAGTTTACTGCTGCTTATGTTTGTATTTTATTGTATTTCACCTATTTTCTCCAACTCCCAAGGGATTCATTCTATCCATCCATCCATCCATCCACCCATCCATCCATCCACCCATCCATCCATCCATCCACCCATCCATCCATCCACCCATCCATCCATCCACCCACCCATCCATCCATCCATCCATCTATCCATCCACCCATCCATCATCCATCCATCCATCCATCAATCCATCCATCCATCCATCTATTAGCCAGTGCCTAATTGCAAATTCTCACACCTTATCTGTAAAAATGGGGTGGAGACAACCCTTGAAGCCTGCATGCGTACAAGATGCCTACATATGAAGCAGGTCGGCTCACTACATATGCGAGCAGTTAAAGAGACCCACATGTCATTTACACAATGAGCAGTGAAGAATTCACTGTCACAGCTTTCATCATGCGGTTACAAAAGCGCTGAGATCACAAATGTTTTAATTCTGCCATCATGTCACTGTGGTGAAATCCACTCTATAAAACCAGCCAATGAGAACACGGCTGGCTGTGTGGTGCTTTCTGTACATATGCAAAGAATGTGATAGAGCACTTGTGTTTGACAGTGTGAGGAGGCAGCAGTGACTTGCAATTCTCAAAAATTAGAACCACATTGTCCAGGTCGTCCTCCGTGAACCTGAGAGCTCTCCCAAGGACACGTGTATTGATTGAAGGTGAACTTTTACTGGCAGACATTTTCAATAGAAACAGAACCAGCTTTTTCAGCGCCACCCCAAAGGAATGTACCACCCTCAAAAAGGTGGATGTAATGTCAAAAATGTATTTTCTCTGTAGCAGGAACTGGTACCACTGTAGGAAGAATAGGGTTTTTATCCTAAAATCTTCTTTCTTGGTGTCACTTCTTCTTTCTAAATCTGCCAAACGTAGCCAGTTGTTCATTGTGCTTTGCAGATGTGGAAGACTAGTGCTTTTTCAACCACATTACCACCAAATTTGTAAAATGACTCTAACCACAGTGCACCATATGTTTGAAATTAATACATGCAGCAATCACTGGTCTCTGAGTAAATGATAGCTTTTCAATTTGTCATGTTTATAGCAATTTTTGACTGCTGGTTTCCTGCATTTTCTCACCGTCACTTAACTGACAGTTTAGTAACATAGTGTAGTGTAGTATAGTGTAGTGTTCTTACCTTACAGCACGAACATCACTGGTTTGAGTCCCAGTTCTAACAGTTGCTCTTTCCGTCTGGTATTAAAATTTTCTCACTGTGTCTGTTGGTGTTTTTCTCCAAATGATCCTCATGATAGGAGGAAACATCGAGTCACGAGTGCTCAACCCAGCTCCATTTTTCCACTCGACACCGTCCCTCGCTGGGTTGTTTTACCTATTTTTATAATAATATAAAGTTGGGGGAAAATGCAGTCGAGATACGAGTGCTGTTGTGCTGTTGTTGAAGCCCCACTGTAATCCAGTTTACACCAGTCTTCACATCAGTGGTCACCAACTGTATTTGTCGGAAGGCCAGAATTTGTCTGGACAGACACCTAGGGTCCAGGTTTATATATTTTAAAGGCCTTTAATAGTGGAAACCACACAATATTTTCTTTTTGATCCTCACAAATTTAGAATCCAGTCGTGAACCGTCTTGGGCATTTTGGCAGGACCGCTGACTGCCACTTGATGATCACTGGTTTACGCCCATAGGTGTGAATGTTCTATCTGTGGCTCTGTGCTGGTGGACTTTGCCCTGGCTCTATGGCTGCCTCACCTCCCGCCGTGACCTTGAACAGGATTAAGCAGTAGACAATGGATGAATGGATGGACTAAGGACGTGTGCCAGTCTCCTTGTTTATTTAACATGATCTAAAATGAATGGCTGATCTAATATCACCTAGATCAGCCATTCCGGCCATTTCTGCATGGTCTCCATCACTTTATCCACTTCTCTCTGCAGGTCCTGGCATGAGTTATCAACCACTGGCCAGCGGAGACTCCTGGGCCAACTCTGACTTCAATGTGTCCATTCATGCTGCCATTCGATCCTCCAACTGGAAGCTGCTGACGGGCGACCCAGGTCAGTATCTTCTGTCACCTTATATTGACGTGTTTAGTCTGATTGAGGAGTGGAAAATCAAACACATACCTGTCGTAGGATACGTTCACTTTAAAAAAAAAAATTCTGAAATTAAAATCAGTGGTGGTGGAAAAAAATACAATTTGGTTTTGTTTTTTCAGTAAGGGAAATGTATAGATGAGATGTTCAACAAATGGCTGATCTCAGTGATTTACAGTACTTAAGTACATTGTTTCCCCAAGACTGGGTCGCGACCCTCAGGTGGGTCACAAGAGATTTTTTTTTTTTGGGTCATCTCGCATCATGTTTCCCAGGAGTTTACAAATAATGTCTATTGACTTAGGTCGCAAAGGTTTGTGACTTTTAAAATATGGGTCCTCAGAAAAAAAAGTTTGGGAAACACTGCTTTAGTTTGACTGTGTCCACAGCCCTATGAGGTTGAAGCCTCCACAAATGTGAGCTGGGCACTGAGATGGTATTTTAACTTCAAGATCTCTCGGTGTGTGTAAATGACAGTATGACGATGGTTGAATTATTGGAGAAACTGTCTCTAACATCATGTCCATGGGTAAATGCTTTGACAACCGTAGTTAAAACCATCATCGTGACAAAAGTGAGTTAGAAGGGGTTAAAGATGAGTTTGGTTTGCAAATTTAATTATGAAAATCATACATAAGCAGATTATTACAGCAATAAACTGTTAACGTTAACTCATTTGTGACATTAATAGGGAGGGAAGTCTAGACTTTATATATTTAAACTTTCTGGTGATGGAGGTGGACATCTGTACTTGTCGTTTACCCCCAGGCTGTGGCAAGTGGTTTCCACGACCTGGTGACAGCGGCTCTGACTGGAACCAGACCAGTAACGATCCAGTGAAGCCTGTAAAGCTGTTTGACATAATAAAGGATCCAGAGGAGAGAAATGATCTGTCTGACCAGTTCCCCAGTGTGGTGGATAATCTCCTTGGTAGGCTCTATCAGTACCAGAAAACCGCATCCCCAATTATATACCCCAGAGATGACCCAAGGTGTGACCCAAGCCTCCAGGGAGCCTGGGGACCTTGGGAATAGATGTGGTCAGGAGTGGAGCGGAAGGGAATGTGGGGCTGCTAAGGGAAATGCAATGATTTTTACTGTTTGATTTTACAAATCCTGTTTTTTTAATTACTGCATGGTGATTATGTTGAATGATGAAATGGTAAATAAACATTATGGTTATTTTTGTCTAACTATGTTTATTTTCCACTTACCTTTCATTTTCATTCAACTGGCCAACAAGTATCTAATTGGCCAACTTTATGGCAGCAACCTAAAGCTTTTAGTCATTTACAACAGCTGCCTAACGGCCTTGTTCTAAACAGCAGAGAAGTCAAAGAAATGGCCAAAGTTAAATTGGCAGATTCTGACAGGGATGAACGATGAAGTTAAGTGCCCTTAAATCATCTGGGTTTTTTTCTTACGATCATGAAGAATCTACAGAAAGTAGATCTCCAACAAATAGAGCAACTTCAAGATGTCGTAAAACAGAAGTTAAGAATTATCATTTATGTGCCGCCAACAACTCTGCAGACGAGATCGTGTTACTGTGAACAAAATTTTTTACGAACACTTCCAGAGTTTCGTTTAGCAGAAGAATTCCAACAAGATTTAAAAAACAACAACGTCTTGAAGTCCAACCAAACCAAACATTGGAAATATGAATCTAATAAAGCAGCTGTTTTTCTGCCATAAATAAAAAAAATGAACATGGCAACTAGTAATTAGGGGCACAGATGATGCCGTTATTGGTCCAGCTCTCGGGGGTTAACTTCATGCAGTTGCCGTCAGTGAGTTCCCAACACGTGTTACTGATTTGTACACAATCTCCCTACTGTGTCAGGTATTTGCACTTTTTTGTTTTTCTATGATGAGAATCTGGAAGCTTCTTGTATTTGTCAAATGCAAACCAGTCCAGAAATAGCAGGTAGTATTAAACCTCAGAAAAAGCAGGGTTGATACACAAATAGTCATTTTATCCTATGTTAGCTACCCCGTTGCATTCTGGGTAATCACACAGTGTCTTATGTAATGTGTAGCATACAAAAAAAACAGTTGATATCTCAAAAATGTTACTGTTTAATCTTTACCGATAAGAAGAACTAGCGTGTTTAGCTGTAGAGCGTGCGGCAGTCTCATCATCGTATTAGTTTTGCGTCACCATGAGCTACATCATGTGTCAGCACATGTTATGTTGTGTTTAAATTGGCTGAAATATGTGAGACAACGTGTTTAAAACTTTATCGCAGTGACAGTAACCAGCTGTGACTATTTTGACTGCAGGTCAGTGACTGTTGAATCATCCCTAAATAGATGACTGCGACATCAGTGTGTTTGCTGTCTTAAGTCTTGTAATTAAAAGTCGCCTGAAGACTCGGCTAAAAACAGTTCAAACTGGAACCGTTCACTGGGGTAATTATCATATTTGGAGTCTTAGTGGTAGAATCTTAACATCCTGAACACACGCCCACTCTGACCTTTGGCTTCTTGGTGTTTGACCTCCTTCTTGCAGCCGCATGAAGACTAGCACAGGAAATGATCCCTGCAGAGAGTGGGCGGCTCCATCCTAATGCGGGCTGTGACCTTTGACCTGCCACTGTGGAGTGATTGGCGGCAGAGCAAGGAAAACAACAATGCAGAGTTACCAGGGAAAACAGTGGAGCTGTGAAACCATGTAACATCAGCAGCCATGTGATGTCCATCAGGTGTGTTTTATTTATGGACGTGAATGTACTGTGAGGTACAATGACTTCACTGTGTGATTACCCAGCATGCAGTGAGTTGTCTTTATGATTTGCAACGTGGTTGTCGCATGGCACAGAGGCTGGGAATCACTGGTCTGAGTACAGTTGTAGGAACAACCTCTTCAGTAGTGTTAGATGTAACACGTTGCTGCAGTGTGATGAGGTTCTGTATGTTTCAAATTAGGGGTTAGACGGTGTGAACTCCTGCTCAAGTGTATAACGTGTGTGAGAAAACACAGACGGACATTTTTTATTAAAGCCGTTGTATTGAAATTTAAACTGTGAATCTGGTAATAGATGACTAGCCTTCAACCACATAATTATTTGGTCTTTTCCGAACAAGAACTACTTACAGAGCTGAAGCCATAAATTAGTCTCACACTCGTTCACTGTGCAGTCCACACCATGATGACATGCTTTGCATAATTAGATGTTATTACTTCATGTCATCTACCTAAAACTGAAGCCTGTGAGATTCTCAGCTCCACTGCAGACCTTCCCCGTTTGCCCCCCACCCCCTCTCTCACAGAGACACTCTGTGGTGCGTTGTCCTCCTGACATGTTATTCTATTTCTTTCTCCTCCTTGTGATTACCTCAACCAACTGTGGGGGTGTCACAACTCATCATCTTCTCATACTTCTCAAAGCCGTTGTGGTGTCTTTCACACTAGATCCCCACAGTGACTGCCCTGTGAAGTGCGATGAGTCTAACCCAGGCATGAGCAAACTAAGGCCCGGGGGCCGGATGCGACCCGTTCAGCTTTTTAATACGGCCCGTCAAACTTTTCCTAATTATATCATTAATTTATATTATCATTATGCTTCTGCCTTTACCCTGCAAAACCTCATTTCCTCAATAGATGGTGTAGAAAATAATAAAAGCATTTTAGCATTTTAGCAGTTATGCATGACTTTTACATGTCATCCGCCTCATGTCATTGAACGTTCCATCTATCTGCTCCTGACCCGCCCCCCCGTTCAATGTTAGAACAATTGTGGCCCACAAGTTGAAAAGTTTGCCCATGCCTGGTCTAACTTATCCTTGTGCAGTTAGATTGAGCTCATATGTTACTGTTTTTATAGGCAAACACATAGGTGAGATGCTGACAACAGAAAATGTTTTCTTTGAAAAGAACAAAGGTATTTCTCTATGGTGGCGCTTTGGCCCAGAGGCAGTGTCTCTGTCAGTGGTGTGGAACCCCAGGGTTCACCTGCTGGGCAAGATCGCATTCCAGTTAGGGCGGTTGGTACCTTCCAGTGGACTCACCACCCGCAGGAAGGTTTAGGGGGGTTAGTACGGTGCAGTGTGATTTGGGTGGCGACTGCTGCCCCCACGACCCGGTAACGGATAAGCAGATAAAAATGGATGGATGGATGGTATTTCTCTATATATCTGTCATTTAAGTAGAAACACAAATGCATCACAGAATTCCCTCAACTCGATGTCTGGGGAACTTATCTTGACACGTTTTGCTTCGAACATCTTTGGAAATGATCACATATGTCTTTTTGTCTAACCTTTACAGTATATAATGCAGTCTGGTTAAAGAGAATGGATCTTCTTCTTCTGTTTTTTCATTGTAATTCCCTTTATTCCTGTAAATGCCTTGGACACAAGGATACAAAGTCCATTCAGGTTTTCTATTCTGTAACCCTCTGCCCACTGACATTATTTTCATCTGCAATCAGTCACAGAGGGAATCAGAGTATGTCCACCGGGGACTATTGTTCTTTCAGTTTGACTATAAAAACCAAACTCCACTTCAATCTGGAACTAGATGGTCAACAAGTGCACATGGATTGCCAAACACCGCAACCGTGGACATAAGTCTCCTGCTGTGTTTTTATCCTTTCTTCACAACTTACTTTACGAACTAACCACCAACAAAATCTGAGTGCACTGAGGTCCTGATTGTTCCAGTCTTGGTCTGAGCGACTTCAAAATAGATGTTCTAGTCTTGGTCTGAGCGACTTCAAAATAGACCTTTAACACACACTCGCTGCAGTGTAAACCTCACATAAATGTACAAACGTTGCTCTTAGATTTCTTTTTCTGTCACATGCACATTTTCACTGTGTTTTACAGGCAGGTGCTGTACTGTATATATGTATGTCTATTATGTTGGCAACACCAGAAGACTTCATCCTGGGAGTTTTCACATTGACAGACACATTTCCAGAAATAATGCTGGACTATGTATGGCTCTCTGCTGTGCATGGACATGCACAGTCTGAGGCTCCAGAATGTGGTCAGTGTCTGGTGCGGACTAGAGTTTAGGTTCAGCTGTTAGCCTCGCTATGAAGGTTAAGTCACAAAAACATTGAGGTCACTGCAGTCTGGTAGTGCAGTGTGGTCTGTAGAAGTAGTAGATAACGTAGTCTGTCACATTTTCTCTTTTATTATTTTACTATAAACATACGATATGTACTTTAAACACAATGGTGTAAGTTTGCACAAAAACCCTGACTTTAGCAAGTCAGTTTCATCCCTGTTCATTAAAAAAAAACTTAAACTCTTTTAAACACTCATGTCATATCATGTCATATTTCTTTCAGCATATAAATAGAGAATATCTTAACGTAAGCTAAATAAATAGATTAGCATGAGGAAAAGCACTGCTTTTTCTTCTAACTTCATAAGCAAAATATTATAAATTGTTGTTAGGTAGTAAAGACGGTAGTGAAACTTAATGTTAGATTATGTTTTTCATGTCATTTGCTTATTCAATTTTTAAATTGTGTTTATTTTCATACAGAATTGAAACCAATGAATTTAAGGTTGTGACTAACCCGATGTAGAGGATGTTGGAGGGATACCTTTTTATATCATGCAGTGATGAGGCCATTTCAATTTTTTGACGTTTTTTTTTTATTTCATACGCTGAACAACTACTTTGAAATAGTTCCGGCAAAAAGCCGACGGAGGTGCCCGATTAATCTATAGTTTTACATTTTATAAAGTTATCTAAGGTGACGTGGAGTCTAACTCAACAGGTAACACAATTCTATTTTTCAAACTTAACATACCTATTTTATACAACTTAGTTTACCCGTGCTTTTTAAAAACTTTTTCCAAACTTACTGTGTATACAAACGGTTATTTTTTGTGTTGTTTAATTTAGGCTTTCCCAAAGCTACAGGCTCAACTGACAGACTGTTGAAGGTATACAATAAATCTAAATGATTATGTCGTATTTAATCATAGTTTACTTTCTCTTTTTGAGAATAAAACTCCCTTCCCGACATCTGAATCAGATATCTGTTCAGGTTGTGCCAGAACAGATATCTGTTGGAAAAGAGTGTACGCTGTGGCGCGACCCGGATGCAGGGGAAACTAAAGAAAGAAAGTAAAAGTAATTGTATAAATGTAACAACCAATGAACTATAGTTCAATACCCAGTCATTTAAGAATGACAGAAATGTTTTCCGTTATCACAGCGTGGTGAGTACAGAGGGGCGGTGATTGGTAGACAGAACAGGCAGGGAGGGGGCTAACGTAACCGTCACTCCCATCCCAACAGCAGGCTGTGCCGACTGAAGGGGGAGCAGGAGCCGGAGCCGGAGCACAGCCATTCATTCTTCTGTGGTTCCGTAGAGAACGTGGAGCACGAAGGGCAGATACTGATGGCTGCTGCTGCTGTTGGAGAATATAAATCTGCTCACAAAGCTTGGTTCGACATTTAAAGTTCAACAGCAGGAGCCACGCGGAGAGAGGCCTGCGCACGAATCCTCAAAGCCGTCGATTCACAGACTTTACACGTAAGTGTCTAAGATTCCCATAACGAGCAGAGAGAGAGAGTTTTTCAAACTAACATCACAGAGAGAGAGAGAGAAGAACTCCCTCTGTCTGTCTCTCCCTTTCCTCTCTTCCCCTCTCTGTGTTAACCACGCCGTATTCTCTTTGGATAAACTCACTCGTGGATTGTGTGGTTTTCTGTGAAAGTTTTCCCTCCTGGGCTGGTTTCTCCAGGAGTTTTCCTCAGACTGTCGGAAAAGTGGCAGGGAAAGCCAGCAGATGCTCTGCCAACCAATGCAGCACATTCACAGGCTCAATTCTCATCATCACTGTTATCACTTATGTTGTGTCTCATTTATGTTGCTTTAACTGGCAGGAAAAGAGTTGACGGCAGTTAAGTTTCTATTAAATTACAGTTTTGTTTTTTTATTTAGTTTACTAGTTGTAACAGTAACGGTAGAAATTTGATTTTAAAGGTGGATTATTTCAGTAAACTGTAGTATTGAGTACATCCCAGAGAAATATTATTATATTATTATTATAATATAACACATTTTAACATCATTCACATCAGTGCTGTACTACCCAGAACAGCAGAGCTCTTGTTAACTATTAGCAAACCAGTCACATCATCACAAATAAATGGTGGTTGAGTGGTGTCTCAGACGTGACTGCCCCAAAGCTCCTTTCATTTATCAGTGTGGAACTGGTATATAGTCCAAACTCCAAATCTGTTTCACTCTATCTCATGAATAAACATTTGACTCAGATGAGAGAATTAATTCAAACAAAACATTACTATTGTACTGCTTGTCAGCTGAGCACATTACATGTCTTCATCACACCAGGGCGGCTGAGGGGGAGTTTTATTGAAACAGTGAGTGAAGACAACTCCATATTTTTCCTGTATAATTTAGATCTCCTTATTGTTTCCAACCTTGGAGGTGAGACATGCATCCGGAGTTGTATTTGTTCAAAAAACAATACCACATCAGTGTGCAGACTGCTACCATGGTAACCCTGAGAAAGAAAAAAACAAACAAACAACAAAAGTGATCTTTTACTACAGTTCTTTAATATTTAAATTTTAATATAAAATATTAATATTTTAATATAAAAAATATTTAAATAAAATTCTTTTTAATATTCAAATTCCCTGAAGATTCTTCTCTACTTCTCCTTCAAGAGGCTTATTTTAGCTCTCAACTTATTAGGATGAATGAGCTGGTTGACATGGAACGTTGATAAGATAAACACATATTTCCTTCCTATAGTTACTTTTACTTTTTTGTTATTTCTTATTTTTAGATTAACAAATTTAGGACACCAGAGCTTTTACAACTCTAATTTAAAAATTAAAATCTTTGTTTCTTTGACTCCAAACATTTTTAAGGTGATCTATCTCTAAGGCCTGTCAAGTGTTTACTAAACATGATTCTTTTGATCATGTTTAGTATATTTTCGCTACAATATTAAATCACGTCTGTTTTTAATATAGCAAAATGTCTGTCCTAAACAACCCTATCTAAAAGAAATCAGGATGAACTCCAAACACCTGCTGGTTGGCTGAATGTGTCAGTGTACGTTTCAGAGATCTAAGGGTTTCTCTGCCATTATGTGTTGAAGAGAAAGTCAGTTTTGACAAAGTACGACATAGGTCATTGTGTTTTTTTGGTCATCTTGTATTTCAACAGTAAACATGAGAGCTGGTTCCACCTGCAAGCCCATATTTGTAGGTGGAAAATAGAAAGATTTCCCATGGGGAGCGACCTTATACTGTATACGTTAATAAAAATGGAGAGGTCTCTGAATAGTTGTGTAACCTGAGTCAGGGACAGCGTTGTGAATTTGTTTTAAAAAAGTGCCTCTCATTGTTTTATTGCCATTCTCTTCCCAGGAAGTGGTGACACCTCACACCCTCTACACCTTCACCCCTTGTGTGTTGCATCATTATCATTCAAATTGAACAGGAAAATATAGTGTTTTGATGTACCGTACCACGAGTGAATTCATTAGCCTTTCTCTCAGCAGAAAGTTGAGCTTTTCAACAGTCGGCATCGACTTATAGGACATACAATAAGCCTTATACTTATCCATGTCATGGGAGACCCCTTTGGTGCAGAGATGATGTCTTCTCCATGTTTCATTGATAAAAGTCTCTTTTGTATTTACCATGTCAAATCTGACATCTGTTTTTTATAGCTGAATCATCTGACTACTATAAATCATAAATCATCTACTGTTGTCTTTAAATCATAAATCATCTACCATTGTCTTTGGCTCTACCTTTTTGCCCCAAAATTGTTGTATGGTTTACTGTCAACATACTGATCTAAAGGGGCAACAGTCTTCAAGCTCTGTTTTGTCTTTATTTTTATTTTTATGCTTCTATTCACTGCCAGATTTGCAGAGTTTTCTAATAGTTTTTCAGCCTTTACTGCACTATTCATGGTATTTCCTATTCTGGTATCTCTATCAAAACCTTTTATAGTTTTTTCATCTTGGCTCCTACATTTCCAGCTGTGCAAGTGCAACCACATTGTGGTCTTTAATATTTATCTATATTTTATAATTAGTCTTTAGCCATTTCCTGGTAACCAAATTTCTGATGTTTAATAACGGTTATGTCATCACTAAATGAGTGACTCTGATTAAAGATTGCACTTAAAGCCAGGGATTGCCAGTGTTTTAACCTTATATGCGCCATTGCAAACAGTCCCTCAGGGATCACTATTTGGCCCACTTAAAGAAAGTGGGTTTCATTCATTACCACCCTGCAGAAAACTCCTGTCTCTATTGAGACAAGGAAAAGTCATTAAAGTATCCGAGTGTGCAGCTGTGTGTCACAGATATTTTGAAAAGGTCATCCCTATGAGCAGTTACTTCTCTGTTCATATAAAGTAAAGCTTATTCTGTAATGCCTGGATTCTGCACCACGATAAAGGCCTACTTTATTGTGGTGCAGATAATGTCACTGGCGGTGGTTTACCTCAACTTCATATAGTTGTTGCCACTGTTTCACCATCCCGATGGGTTTAATGCGTATTCTTTATCTGTTACCTTTTTGCGTAGAGCCGTCTCCAGCACACAGAAGAAAAACTTTTTTATGTTGTACTAAGTATAATTTGCTCTGAGCAGACTGCTGATAGATATCAGAGCTGTACACTATCAGCATGTGCCTGTAACTAGAGCTACTACCATGGCGTCACCATGACCAGAGTGTGAAATCAACTAATTGAACTGCTGCTTTGGGGTCAGAGGTTAAACCAGACGACTCCGGTTGGCTGGAACAAGCATCTGGAATACAGTTTGATGAAGACAAGCCTTACTCTGGATATCCGGCTGCACAGATAGGTCTAGTAACAAGGCAGGTTTATTCGTACCATATTTCTTTCTACAACTGTAGCTTTTACAATTCAGGTGGAACGTCCCCATCTGTTTTTTAACAATCAACATTTTTTTAACAGTGATTCTTTCAACTCAGGGTATTTCTGTTCCAGTATAACAAGACTGCTCAGTCTTATAGTGATTTAATGCAGGATGTTCTGTAATAAAACCAACACGGTACTGCTGTTACCCTGACAATTCTTTATTTGGACACAACTTTTGACGTAATGCACTTAAGACCGTCCAACAGACAAATCCTAACTAGGTCACATTACGTAACAAGGCTTTTCACTCCAAGAATCTAAAAGGAGAATTCAATTTTCAAAAAAAATTGCAGCCTGTCTGGAACAGTTTTGCAGTTCTGCAGTTGACTACAAGTGACAAAACCTGTTTTTTTGTATACATTTCATACTTTCAGTCATTTTCTGATAACATTTTTCAAATGTGTTGCTGTTGTTATCATCACTATTTCATGCACTGACATGGTCTTCAGGTGTGGAAAGTGAAACCAATATGTAAGTATGCAAAATAATGCAGTGCTGGCCATTATCTCAAAATGCTAGGGTATGATTTAAAAGTTTATACAGAAGGAAAACAAATCTTAACCCTTATTTGCCTGACATATTTAAGCATATGAGATAAAATCAGCTAATCAGAGCTAACACAACATGTCTTTATTGGTCTGGGTATTTCTTTACTTTAAATATCTTTTCCATTTGAAATGATGCATTCCTAAATATTGAAATGAGCTTACATTAAAAAATCTCAAAATGTATGTTTATCTGACAAAGTATTGTTACATATAAGCTATAGCTTTTTGAATCAGGTGACTACTAAACCATTAAACCTTAACTTTCCTACCTAGATTTCCTCCGATTTTAATCAGCTAGATGATTCATAGGTCTTTCATAAGGTACCAACTGTTGTAGACAAAAAACATGTTTATGTAAAATGTAACAATATCCAGCAACTCCTACAAAAATAACCTCATTCTTGTAACCCGGTCTGTCTGTTTATTCCATGACCCTCTGAATCATCGCCGCTCAGGTCTCTACCCTCCTCCATCCCCAGCTACAACACTGTGTGGCAGTCATGCACGCTGACTAGATTAGGCAGTACCAATGATAAACATCTTTGTCCCTCCTTTCTCTGCTGCTATTCTTTCTTGCCTTGCCTTGAACCCACTCTCCTACGGATTATGGAGATCAACCTCGCCTGAGGGTACAACCTTCTGTAGCCACTCGCTGTTTATGTTTACTGGGAAACCTGCAGGGTGGGATCCTGGCAGTAACAAAGCCTGCATCCTTCACTGGTGTACCTTCTTTCAAAACAGTGCTGTCTACAGAGACTGGTGTGAAACATACACAACACTACAAATCCACAGTAGTGAATGACTAGTGGTGGGGTAGGGAGGACGGGGGCAAGACCCTACTGCCAGGTGAAATGAGGAGAAAGAAATGGGTTTTGTTCCTTTGTGGTGAGCTGGGGGTCAGTCTCAGGGGAATGTGTGGCTGACAGACGGTACGTTTTGCAGCTGCACAGCCTCCAGCACTTTATCTAGTCCCTGAGCAGCTGCAGACTCATTCAGCTCTGCTGGCCGTGTTCACTGCAGCTCATGTCTCTCAGACAAATCTTC